TAGGTTTTCATATTTAACCCGCGGTTAACCCAAAATTAAAACGCCATTTTTTACCCAAAGGCAATCCCCAAAACAGATTAAATAAATTCTTTAAGTATATGATAACCAAAACCAATTTTTTGGCCAATTCTAAGAATTAACCGAATGCCAAATGTTGAGATATCTTGGGCAATATCTAAATAATTAAAAATTAGTTTGGTTTGAAATATCCCAAATGGTTTTGTTGATTCCGAATAACGAAATCATTTTCGGTGTTTTAAAATTTAAAAAGAAATTGTTATTTATTCATGATTTGAGCTGAAAATATTTCCATAATCAAAATGGATTGGCTTAGAATTTGGCCCATTTACCTTTCATTATTTTTTGGGGGGGTTGACAAACAAAAAATTTTTTTGGCAAATTAATTCCTCCACGCGGGCGCATTTTCGGTGGGAAATCTTTTTTTAGTAAAGATGTTTATTTTTTAGATGATGGTTAAAAACGCCTCGGAAATCAGCTTGTTTTCATTAATAATGGTCCATCGGGTTTGTTTGTTTTGTTTCGGCGAATAAAAAAATAAGGAAATTATCAATATATTTTAAAAATATAATTAAAATTAAAATCAAACGCCTTTAAAAAATTTATGGAATATTATATTGAATTTGGTATTTAAAAAATATATAAATTTTGGTGTATTTTTTGAATTTTTAATTTGCATAAATGTTTTTTGGTGGGATATGACATTTCAAGTTTATATGGGGGAATGGCCGGTTACGGTTTTTTATTTTTTGTTCAAACCGGTGAAACATCTTTCTTAAAACGGGCCGAATATTCAATTTAAACAACGCAAACGATACTTTTTGATGAATTTTTATTAAATGAAACATGAAAAATGATATAAATATAGGATTGTTTTATATTTTTTATATTATTTTGAGAAAATATGGCGGATAATTTAAACCATGGCGGCGGTGATATAAATAAATCCGCTGTGGCCGTTTATTTGAATTTTAAACCGACCTCAAAACTTATATTTTGGATAATATAAAACGTATTTAAACTTATTTTAAACAATACCGCATCATAGGAATTATTAAATTTAAATAAATTAAAATTCATATTATTCATCGTCCACTTTAGGAATGTATATCCCCGAAAAATGGAAAAACCCTGGATCCCGATTATCTTCTTTGAAAAGGGAAACCGTTGATGAATTAAAAATGGATAAAAATTTGAATCAAACCATAATCCAGGAAAATGAATCTATTAAAATATATTTTATGTGTGGATACGTAAAAATTTAGCAGAAACGCATTTCAATATATCGGAAAGAATTTTATAGAATATATTGGTATTCGTGTTGGTGAAAATGGGCAGGAAGTTCCCACTATTCCGATTTAATCAACGGGGGGGGGGTGGGGTGAAAATAGACCTAACTAAATTTTAGTTATACACATCAATTGTTTTTAATTGTGGAAAAAGGTATTCATAGTGTTCTTCAACAATTCCATTTAAATAATTGCGAGACAAGGGTAAAGGTAAGGTGTTTTATTTCAGGAATA